TCCTCTTCAGCGTTATAGGATTTACTTCCATATTTCTGAGAAGCTGCTGATGTCCTAAAATAAACTGGAACGTGATCAAAACTGTAAAGGGAAAAGTCAGTCCACGCAAAGGAGGAAATACTTGTCTTCATTGCTGAAATTCACAATGAAATTTAAGAAGTCAGTTGGAAAGGTTATTAGCCGCTTCTTCCCTTTTGGCTGAGAACTATTAATAACGAATGCGTGTTCAGGCCTCGCAGGCGGCAATTACATTACAAATAACTATATTTATTCTCCCTTTGTAGCATCTGACTTGCTCTGGCTTTTAAATATATTTCGTAGTTAAAACTGGTTTTAGCTCCGTTATAGTTATGTTCTACCTATCTGTTATGACTTCGTGAGACCCTCCGGAAGTAACGTTTGGTAAATCGATCAGTCGCGATGTACAGTACTAACAGTAAACGATATTTTATTTTGATCGTATTAACTTGCAAGTTTTGACTTTAAACGTGTAGAAATACCACTGTTGCATAAAGCGATAAAAGAATTTTCTTTTCAACGATTAGTTTTTCCTAAATAAATAAAAGCTTGAAATTATCGGTCGCGTCGTTTAGTTGAAAGAATACCAGTCGCTGGCAGTATTAAATTGAAAACTGTGACAGTCTCTTAACGTCTAGAAACACCAATGTTCCATAAAACAGTTCTAAGCTGCACGGGATCGAAGTTACTTTACAACTGCTTTGGTCGCGGTCAAAATATGTACTGTCAGCACTAACACACCTAAAACATGAGTAACATCTGCCCTTTGAGTACCTGGGCCCAATTGCTTATGCATGTAACTAACATTTTGGGAAAGTTTGTATTGCCTAACAAAACGTTTCCACCAAACTCCAGAGGTTAAAAAAAATAGGATGTTTTGATTCTGATTTCTAACGATTAGTTACATACATATTTAACATAGGTATTTTAGTTAACCCTAAAAAGGGAAGGCTTGACATCATCGATCGCGTCGGTTAGTTGTAATACATCCAGTGTTATTCCAAAGCGTGACTCAGTCAAATATCCGTGAACTGCAGGGCAATGTGATTTTAAAAGTGGAATCCTGAGTATAGAATTCAAATGAATGCCAGACTTAAAGTCAACTGAAAAATCTAAAAGATTTAGATGCATTCGGAAACAAAAAGATACTTAACGAAGCAAAGATTCAAAAAGCTGGGGAAGATTTCAAAGCATTTTGAAGAAAGAGCGACCCTCCTGTTATTTTGGAGGTCATGTAAAGATCACGGTGTTTGATGTCTACATGATAAACACGTAACGCAGATAGTTTACAGAACAGCACTTCCTTAAACAAAACAGCGAGACGAAGTCATTTATGAGGCCACGTTCAATGATATATGTCAGTGTTTAAAGCCACTTTAGCTTCCTTTAGTGTTAGTGTATCACGTAGCAGTTTCGTAACTTCTACTGCATTGAGTCTAATTTGATTTCCTAGGAAGCATCGTTTGAATAGTTAATGTGTTATCCCCCGTTTTGTTATGCTAAAGCCCCCTGCTAAGATGACGAGAGTAAATTTGCAAATGAATTATTTTTTAGTGTGTAAGCGATAGATCTTTAGAAAGAATCTTTTCCGCTATCAATGTTCCACTGCTCGGGTATAGTTATCGCCAAAAATACATGCAATGTTGATGGTTTAGCATAAACAAGATTGGCGTAATCATCATTAGTAAGACAGTAGATAAATTTTAAAAGAAGTAGTTAAAATGCAGATGAAGAGCTGGTCACAACTTGTCCGGAGTGGAACGAAATACGTTCGAGTCCCGATTACTCGAACCCTTGCTAACTCGAGCCTCACGCTAACTCCGGACGAACCAAAATCGATTTCCCCTTGATTTCCGTCATAAAATTACTGCAATTTCACCCTCGATGGCGCGAACTTCCCGCTAACTCGAAGCAATTTGCGTTCCCTTCAGTTCTTTCTCTATAAAATTTTCAACCTCGATAGCTCGAACCATGTCGAGCTACGTCTGTCTATAACTGACAAATCAAAACAAACAGTGTACTGCAGTCTAAAGCATTCACATTAATTTGTGACTTCCGCAATAATCTATCGTGTTCCAATTTACTCGTTTTCTCTATAATTAAATTTGATTGAAATATATACTTTATGCATAGAAAAAAAAGAGTAAACACCGTCTCTCCGTTCCCAACTACCAATAACTCGAACCTTTTCCAATTTCCCTCGCCGTTGTGCGGATTCGACTGTAGTCAAAAGACACCGTTTCGTTGTCCACGTTTCACGTGCTTGATTCTTTCACCCCAGAGATCTGTTATAATTGCGCCCAATGTAATTTTCGATAACGAAGTTAACGATTTGCTATTCTCTTTGTCAGCCACACTGTGGCTGATCACGTCCTTAGCAAAGGTAATGCTCCCTTCAGCACCAGTTCATAATTTGAAAGGAACCTGCCACGAAGAAAAATTACATAGTTTAAACTGAATTCCGGATGCTGAAATAAATTTCACATGCGTATATTCAATATGTGTACTAAAGAAAGCTTTCGGATTTCGACTCACCAAAATTCCAATCGTGCAAACTTGAAACTTTGCCATTCTTAACTCTTATGGTTCGCTTCGCGCTCAATTTCACCGCATCTGTTCACCTTCGATAGCATTTTAGCGAAAATAATCTAAGTGTTCACAGCGAACCCCGTAGAATAGAATAAGGCGAGGTGTCTCTGAGGGGATGGGGTAAGTATTGTGCATTTATCGACCGTACCACTCGCGGTAGAGAGAAAATTGACCTCGTACCCAAGTCTCTACCGCGGCCGTGTCTAGTCTGATTGTCAAGATCATAGCCAGAGAGAAGCGAACTTAGAAATGCAGGTAGAAAACGCTCGTTTTTAACGAAATGCGCGGGGAGTTTTGGGATGGAGACATGTCCCAGGGTGCAATGATCTTAGATCGTAAAGTATGGCCGAGAAAAATGCCGATCGGGAGGATTTTCGGGGCGCAAACCACTACCGCGAGGACAACGGTCGAAATCGGAGTGTGCGGCCTTCAATTGAAGGCAACGGTTTATGTACTAGTGTTTTCTACATACCTACAGATTCACGTAGTTACTTGTTGTATTCATCTTCGCATCCATCGCACGTCAAGAATTCCAAACCATCTTCAGTTTCTCAGACTTCGTCGTTTATGTAGTGACGACTCTGATTTTTCCGAAAAATCGGAGGCAATGAGCCAGTTTTTCGATAAACGTGGCTATCCTGTTTCTGTCGTTCAAGCGGGCTACCACCGTGCCCAACAAATTGATCGACAGTCAGCACTACAAATGGCTGAGAAGGAAAACAATGACCGCATTCCATTCACTCTCACATTTCACCCTCACAACCACGCTGTTAAATCTATAATTCTTAAAAACTTTAAAAGTACTCCAAAACGATTCCGAGACTGGCACTATCTTTTCGCACCCCACTTATTTCATTCAAACGTGACAAAAACATAGGCAACTTTTTAGACAGGAGTTCATTTCAAACCAATGACCAATCTGGAACTTTCAAATGGCTCGCTCACGATGCAAAACTTGTTCTTTCATTCATAAAGTAGAAAAAATATCGGGACCCAAGAGATCCATTAAGATCACTGATCACTTTACGTGTACCTCCGCCAATGTCATTTACTACTTAACTTGCACTTATTGCAATAAGTTATAGATTGGCGAAACAGGAAGACAACTAGGTGACCGATTCCGAGAACACCTTCGCGACGTGGAAAGAAATGACAGGGA